GTAGGGGTACGCTAGCGTATCCAAAAAAATTGTTGAGGTACTCAGTCCCCCCGCGTCCCCCTCCCAAGTCAACCACTGCCATGCAACTAACATTGTTAATTATCCCAGATTTTCTATAACTACTTATCGTTTTGTTACTATCTTTATAACTTTTACATTTGTTATGTTGTTCATATGCAATTCATTATCTTATCATTCTTGTTACAATGTAAGTTTATTTTAAGAATTAACTAATGTAAAATGTAATATTATATTATATATGTGAATTATTTGACTGTCGAAATATTATAATATCTGAGTATATTATATATATATACAGAGTATATTCACTTTAAGCGAACCAGTACCTACTTCATAGAGTTCTGAATGATCCATAATTTTATGGACTGGACCAGTGAATTTTAATTATGAAGATTGAACTATTATAATATTAAAATTAACCGAGACCAGGCAGTTTTATTTGCAAATGGTTGAAAAAACTGAGATTGACCTGTTTTAAACTGTTGAATAAAATTGTGACAAAACCGTATAATTTTAAAACTGCTTAAAAAAGCAGAGATCAGATCGTTAAAAAAAAAAAAATACTATTTTTTTAAAAAGAACTTACCAAGTATTGGATACAAGTGATGCAACAAGGTTAAATCTGTCCGTAGCCCGTAGGTAGTGTCTTTATAGTGAGTACCATTTGTGTCACTTCACAGTACATATACGTACCCAAGGTAAAAATGATTGAAAATTATAAACAATAAAATTTGAAAATAATTATTATGTCAATAGCGTATTATTTTATTCGCACTATACCTAATTAAAATAAAATATAGGGAGTAGATGCCTAGGGTCCATGTAGTGTTTAATGTTTATGACGAGATRTTTATTTTATGATGGTTAATTCGCTATTCACGGTTTACGACTTTACGAGCAACAGCGATAAGCCTAATAATAAATCAAATCAAATCAATCGTAGTGTGTAGTATATAGCCAATGGGCATAGTAAGTGTATTATTAGCGTGCATAAATGTAATGGTTATTTTACAAATTGTATCCAATAGTTTAATAATATTATAATAATAATTAAAATAACTATATTACCATCAAGTAGTTAAAACGTTWAACGATCAATAACATAATAGCGGAGTCGTCATTACGACAAAAATAATAATAATTCCTAGTGTTCCCGTATGCTAAAAATACTCAAAACTAAATAAAAAAATACGAATTTTCGAAATTTAAATTGAACCGATTCTGTTATTTTGATATAAATGTCCAACAGTCTAACCGAAGGACTTATTTTAGATTGGATCGAAACTGAACTTGTGTATAATTTGCAAAATCAAAAAACCAACAAATACTAGACCATACAGAACACTCTACTGTGGACTGTGGACTGTGGTACTATWGATTTTCACCGGTATATTAACWAATTCTCACCAATAGGTTTTTGATATACTGTAGTAATTTAAAAACGAATAACCTCAGACGTTCGACATTTTGTGAATGATGTTAAAATGATTATTTTCCACGTACCTATGGTAAAAAACTTAAACTATTTTTTTCGAGCTATTCAAATCACTTGGAATTTTTCTAAATTTTGTAATTTATTTTTCAGTTAGCAATTCATATTTTTCTTTTCGTGGCTAACATTAGAAAATGCGGTGTATTTATCAACATGTCATTTTGGGTACTTCAGTAATCCGGATGTCTAAAGTTTTAACATTTGCTGGTTTATCTAGATGAAAAAAATATGATTTTCACTCACGGCGATAACTCGGTTAGTTAATCACCATGAACGGCATAAACCATTAACAGATTAACATTACCATATTATTATCTAGTTCATGTTTTCATTAATAATTAATATTATAATGATATCGTGGTACAACTTAACCATAGATATCTGTTTTTTGTTAACATTAACATTATATATTTATTTTAAAATTTATAAAATTTAATGGTAATATTATTTATTTTAATTTAAAAGGATACTCGTATGTAGAGCTGTAGAGGAAAGTGTAATAATGTAAACACTATTATGTTAATATTATATTATATTAGGGAGACCAGTAATTTATAATTATTTGGAATTTAGAAAGTGGCTAATCCTCCCCAGTCATAGCCAACACCGACTTCGTCATTTACCGGTTACCATATTATTAGCCATTAGGAATATGTCAAGGTTTGTTGTATTATATTACAAGRAAAAWAATTAGAAGACCAAAGTTTAATAAAATGAAAGAAGGAATTTAATTGAGTGTCATCAAGAGAAAACAATACTATAAATTAAGACTAATAGGAATTTAAAACATGTAAAAGACATTTTAAAATATTTTAACAGGAACATTTTTATTATTTTAATGTGAAATAACTTTTCTCGATATCGATAATAAAATACGTATTTCACAGTYATCTGTTTTATTTTCATTGAGAAAATAATTAGATTTCGTATTTAACCTTAATAGTTTCTCGATTTTTTTCTGTTTAAACTTGGCGATTGTAAATTTTACTGATACTTCTTGTAGCGGAAAAGAAAACAATTAATTGTATGTTTTATGGACTAAAAAATATATAAAATCCAAATATCACAACTTTTAGTATACGTACCTGATACCTATAGCTACATAAAACCTACCTATTACTAATTTAATTTTAATTAGCTAGTGATCATTATTGAATATTATATATTTTAATTTACATACGCCTGCTAAACCAATACGTATATTGTACTTTAATTTTTATTAGATTGCATAAAAATTGCCTATATCAAACTCCTTAGAATTAGAGCTAACAGCGATGCCGGCCAGGATTAAGATTACTGTCTGTAAGACAATATTTCACAAAAAAAATTCTCTCAACTGGGTGCATACGATAAATCCCTACACATTTTATATAAATAACATTTTTTATGGACCTTTATTAATTTTTTTCTGTGTAAGTACAAATGTATAATACATTTTGTATTATATTATGTTAAATTGCATACGTACAAAAAATGAATAAAAATGAAATATATTAGTGCTTTGAGTTGTAATTTTTAAAATATTAACCGATAAGCATTCAGTTTCTTCGACATTGACCATATCTCATTGTATAACTTAACCTACCTACAAGGAAAAAAACATACCTGATATAGTAATTTATTAAAATATTATTAACTATACTCATGTAGTATAGGTAATACGTTATGACGATGGAACAATAGGTCATAGGTTACTCGAGCGAGTTACTTATAAAAGTTTTCTAGTTATTCAATTGGGTGGTTCACATGAAAAAAATAAGTAAATTTCGGCCAYTTTTTTCTTTGTTATGCATGTTGTTGAAAATAATCATCTATCTTATACGTAGTTTTTTGTTTTATAATTAAAATATAGGTAAGTGATTGATTGCATAAATTGTTGCCTAATTTAGCTGTGAACGACGTAGAATGAAAAATCCATTGTAGTCAAATTCTATTAGAGATTTATGAGAAGTATAACAAAAATAAATAAATATGAATAAATACAATTGTTATTTATTTCATTCATTCCCGAATCAACAGTGAAAAAGAATACCGATATCGAAAAACAAAAACAATAATTCGAGATAAATGTAGATTTCGGTAGATATGCTATTTGTTGTACCCAAGTATATATATATATGATTATTTGTTAAAAAATAATTACTTGTAATAGCAGCATGCGTGCTGAAATATTCTAAGATTATAATAAAAAAAATACGATTATGCAAACGGCAAACAAACGTTAGGGCATATATGGAGGTAATTAGATCWGAAAATAAAAAATATTCCTTAGCCGACAGTAATCAATAATTAATAAAATAATTACTGTACGCCCATTAAAGTAAATTAAAAGAGATGTGAGTGCCACTGTACATCCATTTGTATAGGGAGTCTATTGTTTGCTGAAAAAATTATTTGTTCAGTACAACGTTCCGATGGATATAATTCTTATTGATTATAAAAATAAATATAATAAAGGTGCTTTGGTAGTTGAAAAAAAACTGCCTCCATACGTCAGATATTGATTCGTATGGACATATTTTCATAAACTCGTACCACGAACAACGATAGGGTGAGAGAGGACGCTGTCATTGTCGTGTACTATTGTTATTACAATTGCAGGTCCTGACATGTCATACAGTATATTCATCACACAGGCTGCAGTCGACGAAGTTATTTTAGGCACCGTTTGGTTTACAATAATATTTTTATTCGTCAAAACGAATCGGGAGCATTGGTTACGATAAACCCACAAAAMCAGGGTTGGTTACCAACTATAAATCAAATTCCACAAACAACAATATCGCCAACACGTCTAAATAATATTATTAATCGATACGACTGCAATATTAATCTAAGCTATATTAAGTTTATAACAAAATATTACAGTGCAAGGTCTAAAACGCAAAATATTAAATAAACAAGCATACAATATTGCACTCGTGTAGATTAAAAGGTATTAACGTGCGTAATAGTATCATAGTAATATAATTAAGTTGATAAAACACATTAATATGAATAAAATAAACGTACAATACTACAATGTGCGATTAATCTGATGTTTWATTCCAAAGTCTACACTAAAGACATCGTCTAGACAAGATTCAGACGCGGCTGATCAGACTCCAGATAAGGCGGAGGAAAAGTTTTCGCGCGTAAGTTGGACACACTGAACCAGCCGGCCGGCCGGCCGGCCTGATCAACCGACGCCAAACGGACGCGCAGGCGGCGGCGGCGGCAGCGTTGTTGTAAACTGTAATAAAATCAAAACCGCCGCCGTCGAGTCGGAGAACCGTTTGGTGCGTGTGCACCTCACCCCGCCGCCATATCTACCATCGTAGTAGCGGGTGCGTGTACGTGCGTGCGCGCGTCCAGAGCCGCGTAACGGTGCGCGTGCGTGTGCCCGCTTCGCGTTTGTGCGTGAGCCCGCTCGAATAAGTGCGTACGCGTGCGCGGCCGCCGCTGTGCGCGTGCGCGAGCATTCTCGTTTGTGCGTGAGTGTGTGTGCGTTTGTCGTGCGCTTGTGTGTGACTGCGCGAGCCGTGTGCGTTTCGTAGTTTCGTTCAGTGTTGTTTCACTATCAATCCCAAGCGGCYCTTCGAACAAGTTACATACGTTGGTCGTCGCAGCAGTCCGTACACCGTTTTGTGTTCAACCACCAGTCCACCGTACGCGTTCTGTTGCCATTTCGACGTCGTCCGTCGTATTTGCTTTTCGTTTCGTTTTCTCCCGTCGCCGGCGTTCGATACTCGGCCGTCCGCCGTAGCCGCCGTTCGCCCCGGCTCGCAACATCACCCGTATCGCACGTGTTGTACGCGACCAAATCGTCGTCGTCGTCCCACTCCCCTCCTCACACTGTGCTGCAGTGTAAGTAGTAGGAAGTAACCGTTGCAGCAGTAGCGTTGTCACTTGTCACAGCTATCGCGCACGCGATTACCGCCGAAACGGTCAACCCCGGACAAGAAGCAGTCCCGCCGACGACGAGTTGCATTTGTACATTCGCGCATCCAGTGTTCATCGCTGACGCCGTCGCTGATATATCCGTTGATTTACCTCGTAAGTATGTTTTTTTCGTACGATTATTTCACTACGACTATTGTCCGTAAAAATTCTTTTGGGTGGCGGTCTTCGCGCGTTAAAAAACGGACGGTGCGGGGGGTGACGCCGCCACCACAGTCTGTCGGACGAACGGGTCTAAACGATTGCGCGCGTCGTCCAATTGTGTAATGGATTCGGCGGACGCGGTGGCGTCTTCTATCGATGCTCAGCAGGTGGTGGCTTGGAGCACCGTTTTGTATACGTATGTGATTGTTGTCATTGTTGTCATTGTTGCTGTTTAACAGTGTAGTGTGTAAGGGTGMGGTAGGGTAAAAAGGTGTTTACGCGCGCGCGTCCTTGCTCATACGACGCGTGCCTTTTGGCGGGTTGTGGTGAGATGAATGGTTTCTGAAAAAAGGTTCGGCTCAAAATTATTGCCTATGCACAATATGGTAATGCACTCTGGCACTAGTCACTGTTAAAATACTACAAGATAAATAGGTATATCATTTTATGCTTTGCCCCTTATATTAATTAATGAAAAATTTATTGATTTATAAGTAGACTATTAATTCCTATYGAAAAGTTTYATTTGCAGTAYTATTCTGTTGTACTGATCACCGTGATCTCACTCTCAATCTTGTTACCTCAATTACCACTAYGATGCCACGACTATCGTCAGTCCAAAATTCTGTTAGGCTCTCACCAGCTGCAATCATTTCCATCGTTAAAAGTTTGCATAACTTTGAAGCTCTKCTAAATGGTGAAATAAAAAGTATAGGAGAACCAGACACCATCATTTGAAATTCCATCTGACTAAGTTTATCTGGAGACGAAACATTAAAGGATAATATCCACTATCCATTTGATAACATGTTGAAAAATATTTCCGAAAAGCGGTCGCCAAAAATTATAAAACCTTGGAAAAGGGTATTCTGGAAAATTTTGTTCAAAATCCATTATGTCAGAGGTGTTATTGATTCCCTTTTGTAATCTGTTTATTCTGTGGTTATACTTATGTACATAACACTTTTCTAAATGACAATTCACATGTAGGTATTGTGTRACCAAAACGGTATTTAGACTCTAGTGATGGTCTGGATTATGGAAAAGTAACCATTTGCGTAAGTATATGGTAGAAAGTAGGATGTTTTTTTTTGCATTTACATTTGTCATTTGAATATAAGTGGTGAACTAACTTCTTTACATTCTATTTAGTACCTACGTAGATATGGTAATCAAATTTTTTAGATCGATGATTGGTGTTTGTATTAACCAGTCTTTTTATTTTCTATTGTATTTATTTTTTGTTAAGCTATTTATAGAGCTAAATATATATATATATCTAATTGTTTTGTAAGAAGTTATATTTTTATTTCTGAAAATGTCATCAGTTTGCCAGAAATAAAATACAAAATTATCTTTTAAGTTGAATGTTTTTTTTTTTTAAATTGATTTAAATTATCCATTTTAGACTTAGGTTATTGTACCTTCTAGAGCAGCGGTTCCCAAACTTTTTGCGGTGCCCTTTTTTGGACTAAATATAGCCTCTGTGMCCTGCTGTCAAATGCTACTTATTTTTAATAAATTTTAGAAATTTGATTGCTTTTAGTATTTTAATTACTTACCTTTGAGTGTGTATGCTAGATTACAAAAGAAAATCAGATGGTTATTAATTACACTACAGTAATTATCCATATATTACTTAAATAAAAAAATATTTATAAKCACAGRTTACTTACTTACCAATTTTATTTAAAAAAAAGTAAAAACCTAATAAGCTTCACTGATATGACACCTTTTTTTATGTAACTTTAATAAATAATAGGTASCTTTAATTAAGTAATACTTAAATTAAATTTTTTATAAGAATTGTTTATATTATTATCAGGTATATAAGCTTTTACTTGTTCATAACATACAAAATTTTACTTAGCTTTGTAAGTTTATAGTAAATTGATCTTTTATAAAATTAAAAACATTATCTGGATTTTTTACGATATTCCAGTTTTTATTAAGTGAGTATGAACAAATGTTCAAATTTAAAATTAAATTTTACCCTATTATATATTTAGAAACTGAACTATCGTAAAAAAAATCCATATACAAAGATAATGTTCTTACCATCACGTTTCTTATTGGTGAATTCACTTTAATTAGTAATTTTTAAGCTAAAGATGATTTGCTGAGCCTAAATTTGCTACATAACTAAYTTAAACGAAATAAATTGCCTGTGTAGCATCTTCTTAAAATTCAAATTAAGTATAAACATGTTTAAACTTAAAATATCAGTTAAATTGATTTTTATATAAATTACTTAATATGCAATAATGATATAATTGGTACCTACCTAAATACCTAATAAAATGAGTGAAGTTGATAATTTAGATGTTTCCTCGGATATTTCTATTTTAMATTGAGAGGTGTTTAAATATTTAACTAGGTTTTTTGTTTTTACTGTTTCAGTTATTTTAAAAAATAACCAAATGTTAAACTGTCAAGAACTGTCAATGTTAATCTAAAGTTAAGTTAGATAACCATTGATCTGAGTTAATTGTAGGTATTAGGTACCTTATAAAACTTAGTTTTATATAGTTAGGTAGRTATTGGATTTTTTTTCCTTAAAAATTAAGTCACTCTAGAATACATGTAATCAAACATCTATCGCTATATAGATGTTCTCCAAGATWTTGACTAACTCTTTCTCCTTATTATTCTCATTTTTGTTGGAATTGTTTGAATAACCTAGTTTGTGATCCCCAAGATGCAATCTCTCACTATTACTTTAGAATAAGGATTTATCTACTTATATAATTATGTAAAGACATTCCATWTTTATGTTTTTGAGTTTTAACTAGGTACTGTTATGTCTTGTTTTAAATTGCATTAGTCAATTATTCAACTATAGTTTTTGAGAATTACCCTTGTTTGAAGTAGGTACCTACTTAAGTTCTATGATGTATATTTTTAAATTATTTTATATTATAATGAATATTAATTTGTATTTACCTTAAAATTATCAATAGTAAAGTAAACTGAGCTTTGTCCAAATTAATTTTTCATTTAATAAATATATTTAGTACTTGTCATATATCCTATCTGTCATAAATTAGATGGATTAGTAATTTATTCACCTAAATATAGGTATCTACTAATATCTGTTTGGTTGGCATAATCATTTTGGTATTAATATTAGACATTATAGAAATATAACAATTATTATTTATGAATATCACTGATCTTATCTGTATTACATTCATAATAAATAAACAACTACCTATCGTTCTTATAGGGTAGGCACCACATTTCTTATTTTTCATTTTTATCTGATAATATAGTGGTGTTGGTTAACGATATATTTTTTACTACCTAGTTAAAATTGTTTATTTTTTCAATATAATTTAATTTCATTAATATTTTTTCTWAAACATAATTAAGTTAGTAAGCAGCTAAGTACCTATGTTGATTATTATTTTCAATTATGCTACTTTTTTATTTTTATTAGACATAAACAATCAGTARAATTAGCACAATAAGATTATTTGATAAGAGTATAGAAAAAATAACATGCAAGGTGTGATTAAGAAGCTGCCTATTAGTGACTCTTGGGTATTTCTTATTTTTTAAGTAGTTCTTTTACCACTACATAGAGATGTTAGTTATTGAAGTTTTATAAAAGGTCACGRCAMAGCTTCCTTTTTAATCTGCGGTTATGATTTCCTGGGAGTGTAAGGTTGGAAAGATTTTTTATGAAACGGTTAGGATGGATTTGGAGTCATTTGTGAAAACGTGTGTAGAAAATGCATGCTTCCTCCAATTGTTCTCATATGAAGATCGTTATAAAGAGTTTGGTTAGAGATATATTTTGGAATGTTTGGTTTTGATTAGTGTTAGATTTTTTTTTTAGAATCCCTCAGTTGTAGTCCATACGTCTGGATTGGTTTGAGTAGAGCTTTRTAGATTAATAGTTTGGTGTTTAGGGTGGATCACTAATTTCTAATTAACAGAGGTCTGAGCATACGCATGCGATTATTTAAAGGTTTGTCTTTTAGTTTGAAGGTGTTTATTCCATGTCAGTCTTTTGTTGATGATCAAGCAGTCCTAAATATTTTATTGTGTCAGATGTGGATAATTGGTACATTGTTAAGAGTTATGTTTGGACATATCCCTTGTTAGAGTGTAAACATTGTGTATATGGATTTATTTATTTTGATTAATTTTGACTCTCCACTTTTGATACCATTAGATATACTTGTAAGTTTGATGAGGCAGTTAAAGGATCTTCATTGATGTCTAAAATTTCTTTGTTGTCAGCATAATCTGCTGCAATAGTTTGTTGCGTGATGGATTGATGATCAGCTACATAGGCATTGAAGATAAAGGGGAAAAGTATACCATCTTGTGGTACACTCGCTTTAATTGGTGCAGTTCCCGATGTCGACGAGTTAGATTGAACTTGAAAGTATCTATCAGTTAAATTATACTAATTTAGTATTGAATCATCAATAGGCATAATTGGCTAAAAATAATATAAAAACAAATAGACAATTTTTAGAATTACCTATACATAGTATACAGTATATGATTTGTTAAATCTTTATTCCTTTCTATAAAATATTCATATATATTAATTTGGGTACCTACCTACCTACCTACCTATTGTAAAATAATTGGATACTTAATGTTACCCTACTGTTGTTTAATTATTCATATACTTTTGTTATAGATACAATACAAAATGGATCAAGAAGGTGCTGGTAGAAGAAGGAGCTCAAGGTTGGCTGCAAGGGGCATAGTGACAACACCAAAAGCAGAGCTTATTGTTAAAAAGTCAGTTAAGAGTTCTGAAAAACCTAAACGATCGAAGCGTAAGACAACTGAAGAAATAATTGAATTGCCTGAAGCTAAGAAAACTAAAACTGAAGATAAGGCTTCTTCTGATGAGATTGACAACCCAGAAAAAAACAAAAATAAAACTAATAATGTTGATGAAAATGATGTCTCTGGTATTTCACCAATGGATGTTGACAATGTTGAAGAAACAAATGTGTCAGCACCATCTGATRTAGAGAAAAAAGATTTACCCACAGTTGAGGAAAAGACTGATGTACCACTTGAAGATTCCAAAGATCAAGAAGTTGTTGAAAAAGTTCCAGTCGCTAACGATGAAAAAGAAAAGGATAAGTCTGTTGAAACTGAGGATAAAAAATCTGAAATAAYGGAAGAGCCCATTAAAGTAAAAGACCCTGAAATAATYGAACAGTCTAAAAATGATGAGCCTATACAAGAATCAGTAGCTTTGGAAAATACCAATGGCCAAAGCGATGAAAAGGAAAAAATAGAGTCTGTGGAAGAGATTGTAAACAATGATATTGGGTTTTGTGTAGCAACCAAAGATGTTACACCAAATGGCGAAACTGAAGACCAAGTTAAGCCTACAAATGGTGATGACCCAATAACAGTAGTGGAGGCAATAGAACCTATCAAAGTTCTCCATGTTGAAACTGATTTGAAAGCTGTAACTGCAACCACTGCCATCACCACTAATAATGATGAACCAGTTATTGAACAAGTTGAAAAGGAGCTAGATAAAGCTGCCGGAAATGTTGTTGATAATAATATAAATGMATCAGCTGATGACAATACACCGAAAGTGGACCAGTTATCAACAGTTGTGTCCTAATTTTTGTCATTATTCGTAAGTATCATTTAAAAATTAATAATGATCATTCACCTACATATTTAATTATTATTTATTATTTGTTACTGTACTTATATGAAAGGATATATGCATTTATTACCATTAAAAAAAAAAATAATATCATTTATCTAATATCAGTAGATAACCAATGCAGTAGTAAATAAATAGTGTTGACTAGGTCACTACTGTCAGCTGATTTTTCTGCTATCAGTGGTGAATGTATATARACATAAAAAAAGCTGATAATTTCAGTATCGCAACATAGGTTAGGTATAACTGTATAAGGGCATAGTCTTCATGTAAAAAGTGGTTTACTGAAAATGTTTATTTTTTTTAAATTTAATAAACCTAGGTACCTATAAATCGTTTTTTTCACTTGGGCACAGCCAGTGGCGTAATTTGGCCATGTTTGTGGGAGGGGGATAAAATATTTTAACACTTTACCTATACCCCTCCCCCCACAAAAAAATAAAAATAAAAAGTATTTATTATAAGCACCTTTCAGAATTCAGAGCAATATATTTACGTACACATGAGACATAAAWTAAATTCCGATAAAGTGTACAAATCGATAAGTTATTTTTAGTTCAATAGGACTACGGAAAAATATTAGGATAGGATAAGATAGGACAGATATGACAATAGTCTTTCGATCGTCGTCGATCCACGATAAAATAATACTTTACTGCTCGGTGGTTTATTTTTGTACCACTACACAATGCATAAACAAACTCAAAACTTACACAAAACATATTCATATTGAAATAGTGATACTTATAAACTTGTGTGGCTGCATTTAGAACTAACTAGGTACGAAGTATTTATGTACAATTAGCATAAAGGATTTGTTTTTTTTGTATTATTTCTATAAAGTATAAATTATAGGCTATTTATAATAATATTAATTTGCCGAGGTATTTGATTTCAATATAATATACATTTATATAAAAAAAAAATAATATTATTATTAGATAAAGAAGTACATAGGTATGTAGTTAATCAGTCTTAAAAAAAAAGGTCATGGGGGGGATATAACACCCAAATCCCCCCCCGTAATTACGCCACTGGGCACAGCATAATATTAACTGCTATTGTGCCAAAATAAATAAAAATTAGATAATATACAAATTCAAAAATAAAATTATATAATAATGTTTCCAAACAAATTAAATTCTAAGACTGGCATTACATACTATTATTTGCTGTTAGTTATTATTAGATTTCGGATTTATATTTTGTTAAAATATTTGAAATATGATGTTTATACCCAGAAAAAATTATAAAATATTCCTAATATTCTCAATTTCTTTTATCATTAGTTTAAT